TGAACATAGAAACTCATTTGAAATGGCAAGAATTTCCTCAAAACAAAATCCCTTACCAGTATCCTTACAAAGCCTTCTGATTATCTTATTTGTTGTTGTTGAAAGATGTAGAAATCAATATTAAAAGGAAACTTTCCTCAAATTCGAAGTATACATTTCAAGGTATACTTTGAAATAAAAAACAAACAAACAAAAACAGTTTCCTGACCTGATCCAATAACTTTCTTAAGTTTCACATCACACTAACATTTATTGTCAAAGTCTAAGGACCCAGGAGTATTGTGCAGGACTGTTTGTTCTCAGATCACATTGCACAGTGGCCTAAACTAGTAGACACAAATATAATTTGGGAAATACTGGAATGGCAATGAATGGCGCCCAGATAACTTTACTTTAAAACTTTAAGGAAAAAATAAAAAATATATTTGCTTTTTATTGAAATTTCTGACAGGGTTAAATATACATTTAAGACTCACAATATAATCTAGGGAGAGAAGGAGTAAAACAAAAAATACTATAAACCAAAAGAAAAATAAGTTTAGAACTTCAGCCTAGAGAATAAATTACTATGTTCATGATGAATGTCAACAAAGTGGTGCCTTTTCTTATAAAAGTATTCATTTGGGATAGAAATGAGATACTAGTCATGACTGTCAATCAAAAAGTCTCATTACAGTTAACTCAATAGAGCCCGACTTCGCTAGTTCTTTATGAAAGTGGCTTAGATTTCAAGTGGATATTAAAATTTTCAATGTGATTCTGCAGAACATCACAATGACAGAGGATCAAAGTAAGGACATAGGAGAAAGTACTTTATTGTTGTTTGTTTTTTAATATTTGCACACTCAAAACAATGCATTCCTTTTTCACTTTTATTTGTCATTCTGTGGACAAAATAAAGCGATATAAAAGTAGCCATGTTTAATTCATGACTGAGAGAATGGCTTTAGATACTGTTTTCCAAATAGGAAAACCAAACCCTTAAAGGAGCAAGGAGTAAGAGAATACAATAAAGCTTACAAGAGAGAGAACTCGTTAAAGAATAATGGGGCAGCTCATTAGAATATATCTTTAATCCAAGTAACCAGGCTGATTTGTTCAATTATATCAAAAATTTAATTTGAATCATTTATTTCATATCAGGAGAACATTATATTTACTGATATTAACTTTCAAAGTTATAGTTATGGCCAATCCCATTTTTATATGCTTAAAAATTCTGCTTTCGTCTCTTAAGTTGCTGATCAAAAATTGTAAGACAAAAAGAACATTTAGACTGAATAGAGTTGCACAAAGCATACTCTGTAAGAGAAAGAGAAAGCTTTAAACACACACACACACATGTATACACACACACGCATAAACAAACACATTTTCATGTAGATATTTGCATATTTTACTGTATCTTTCAATATTAACTATCTGTTATTTTGAAAAAAATTGCAAACATTGAAATGGCTGGTTCAGTTCTTTTGGAATGAGGCTTATTTGTGTTTGTAAAGCATAAAAAGCCTATAAAACAAAGCCAAATCATTACGTAGAGGGCTGGGGTTTCTTAAAAGAAAGGAAACATTTGTAAGGACTTTATATTAAAAATGAGTGATAGCTCACAACATTCCTACTACTGCTAGTCTTTTGCAAAATTGAAAAGAAGACTGAAATATGAAAATGAAACTATGCATTTCAGACTGCTTTGAGATTGAGAAAGCATGATCAGAAAATTCCCCAAAGATAAGGATTTTCTTAGAAAATGCTTCTCCCCCTACTTCTTTTTCAAAGATTGGAAGAATTTAAGTAGACCAAGTTAAAAAAAAAAAGAAATTGACTAGAAAAATGGTATTCAACTTAGAAATTACTGCTTCCAATCTTGTTTGTTAGAACTAAAAAGTATAACTAAAGTAGAACTACGTATAGAGGCAGTGATTTTCAACTTTTGGTTACTTACCAAAATAAATATTCCCAAGCAAAGTGCCGATGGCTCATGCCTGTAATCCAGTCTACTCAGGAAGCTGAGATCTGAGGATAACAGCTGAAAGCCAGCCCAGGCAGGAAAGTCAGTGTAACTCTTATCTCCAATTAACTAGCACAAAGCCATAAGTGGAGTAGAATCATGGCTTGGGTGAGGTATATATATATATATATATATATATATATATATATATATATGTATATATATATACATATATATACACATATATGTATATACATCCCAAGTTCCATCCCTACATATTTATTAAGTCAATAGGAAATAATGAACTGTGCAGAATATATATATAATGGTTACTTAATTCATATCATTGCCTCTCGATGTGAGGATACAAATGGTTTGCATATCATACTTATTAGAATTGTTCTTATTTCAATGCTATTAACCTTTTACCTTGGCATTCGAATGGCCCAGATATAATAAAATAAAATACACTCTCCCCATTCCTCCAAGTGGGAAAAATGAAATAGATCAGGGTGTGCCTTTTGTAGTCATTCTACTTCAAGTGCTACTTTGGGTGAGTTAATTAATTTGCATAATCTTCAATATAATCATTGGTAAAACCGGAATTCCAAGAGTCCTTACTATATCTGGATTTTTATAGGATTAAATGAGCTAATATCTGCAATGATTGGTACACATAGTAAGCACTTTAGTATATATTATCATTTTGTATACCAGCCAATCACTGTGACTGTACATAATTCCCTTATGCAGTCTTAAAATCTGGTTTATCAGAGCAAGGGATCTGCAGAGGGGGAAGATACTTTATAGTTCTATGTGTAGTTACAATGTTGAAATTGTTGCAAACCCCCTCTGTTGCATGGAGATGTTTTCTCTCATGGGATTCCATGCGTCATTTGATTGGCAAAATTCTCCATGAAGAAAAGCTAGAAAGTTATGTCAGTCCCAGCTCCTCACTGAACAGAGAAGAGGCAGTGACTAATGAAAAAGAGTTGCAGGAGATCTCAGGCAGCTGTCTTTGCTTCTTTGAGAAGAAGATTTAAAAGTGGACATTTATGCAATTATAGCTCCAACACTTTGTAGGTTGAGATCAAGCAAAAACAAAAAGTATGTGCAATTTGACTTTCTGAGGGATTCGTATCTACTCACTCAAACCATTTAAAATGTAAGCATTCTTTCTTTAGAAGTAAAGAATCTTCCCTAATATGATACAATGAATGTTTCATCTCGGTGATAGATGTATCAAAGAGCTTTAAAAAGTAATAATAATAATAACAACAACAGTAATTTTTAGTGGCTAAGAATTCCAATTGTGATAAAATTCAGACTATTGATAAGAATTTATTTTTAAAAATTTCATGGAAATTTGGGATTTATCGACAGAAAAAACATAAGTTCCATGTGGCTGAAATAAAGCAGTATCATTTATTCTTTCCATATTGGTAGACCAGTCTTTTTGATCAAAATGATTAGGAAAGAGGTTTCTGGTTAACTAGAACCTCTTGTTATTTTAACCCTGGGATTAAAAATCATCTTTCTTATGAGTGAGGCCATTTTGTTTGTATATAGAAGCTGACAGAACCTGATGATATGTCTTTGATAACTGAGAGTGTGTATTGTTTAGAATCATTTTCAGAGCTTGGATTCTCATTTTGTGGATGTAGGTTTAATGGATTTATAACCTATAAGATTAAAAACCAAAGCAGAACACCAAATCTTTATCTCTGAAATGAGCTTAGGGTGTCACTTGATCTATATTCTGAAAGGGAATGGAATATAGTCTCTATGGAAGTTTTGGTTGTTGAAGGTTTTATAAAGATTAACTAAGGGATCAAAGGATTTTTTTTTTTGTCATTTGAAACTTAATTCCTGGAACATTTGAATAATGTTAGAGATTACTGAAATTTATAGTTTAAATTATATACTTTTTACTGTATCAACAAAATTTGTTCTTTGGAAAGAAAAACCTTGTGTTTAATTCTAAATCTATTTTATAAAATAAAGTTTAAAGAGAAAGACATAAGAAACAGTAATAATTAAACATTTCAATATGCTTTGCTTTAATATTCAATATATTTCTCTATAAATTGATTACTTTAAACATTTTTTATGTTATACACTGGGTAATTCTCCAATTTCTGCTTCTTACTGAGGCTTTTGCATTTTAAATTTCTTCATATTTCATGAGATCTAAAATTTTACATCTCTCTATTTTGGGTTCAAAATCAAATAGAATTATTTTATTTAAAATGAATGCATTAATTACTTTGTTCAAAAACATTTCAACATCAGGCTGCCTTTGGGAATCTGGGAGCGGGTTGAGAGAGAGAAAGAGAGAGAAAGGGGAGGGGAGGGAGGGTGCTTGTTTGAACAGTAAGCATTTCTCCAAGGGAAAGCAGGTTATTTGGACATTCTCTTGCTAGCAAGCAGTGATCAAAGAGCATAAATATTAATTTAAAAAGTCCCACTGTAAACAATCATCAGTCACAATCTCATTTGAAAAGGAAGACTTAAAAAAAGGTAATTTGATTCTAAAATTGAAAGGGACTGAAGATTTTCTGTCAAATTCTAGTGAATATAAAATGAAATTCAGTAACCAATCATACATATAACGACTTAATTTTAGCTATTCAATAGTATGACCTAGAACAGGAATTGGTTTATTTAAAAAATGAATTCTAACTTAAAAAATGAATAATGTTTTCAGACTTCAGTGGGGGAAGACCTGACAAGTGTGACTGATCAGGAAGTTCTGTTCAGATTCCCACATGGTTGGATGGAAATGACCTAGGAACTAGTGCTTACCATCCCTTCATGAAGGTTAATGAAGTGACTTTGATGACTTAGATTTCCAAAGAATGTTATACAATGAATCTTAATCACCTAAAAGGAAGTTAATTGTATAGTATTGTGGATAGAATTTCTTTTATAAAGCTTATGTTTTCTTTCCAAAATGATAAAAAAATGATGACAATTTAAATTCTCCTTTTGAACCTAAATGAGGAGCCATTCTCCCCCCCCCCCCCCCCCCCCCCCCGCCCCGGCTGTTTCTTTTCCTCAATATTTTGATTCCTAGGGGTTAAGAGGAAGTCACAAGGTATCATTCATCTGTGCTGTGTGAGACAGACAGACCATCTGTTCAGAGGAATTGTGCAAAAGTTATTAACGATTTCAACTACGGAATATCTTAAGACCTTAAACCACAGGTTTGGTTTTAGCCTGACAATTATTCAGCAACCTTCACATTTGTTAAACTGTAGAGAAAGGGGAAACTAGTTAAGATTTCAACATCTTCTCTCTTGATTATAATTTAATATACTTAAACTTTAAATATGAATTGCTTTCCCTTTTTACACAAGTTATAAAAATAAGAGGCCCTGTTTACACAGTTTGCGTTTTTATGAAATTTGCAGTTTGAAAAAAAAGCTTTTTAAAAAGTGGTAAGTAATGGTTTTCTTTGAATATGCTGTAACCTTAGAATTTTTTTTAAATAGTTTCTGAATTTAACCCACTAAACATCCAAAGATAGAATATTTGTTTAGCACTAGCGTAAAACATACAAAGAACTGAAGAAAAGTAAAGATGTTCTTTTTTTCTTCTGGTTCCCTTTAAGTTTCTTCTATGTGGCACCCCCTTTGTGACAGCAATCAGTATTATATTTAAATTTTATATATTGACAAAATGCGATCTAGGTCTGTAAGCACTGTGCCATTCAACAGGACTACTAGTAAATTTACATACCACAGTTTAAATTACATCCGTTTCAGGTATGATAAAATGCTAGAACTCAAGTGTCTAACTGTCTTACTGGAATGAGAATACAATTTACAAATACAATAATTCCATTTTAAAACCATTAACAATATTACAGCTAGAAGTAAATACTGTAGGACTGGTTGTCATGGTACTGGGTGAGGGAAATTATCTCTGAAAGACCACAACCTTTCAGCTGATATATCCAGAGTGTAGACACTGGTTTCTTTTTTATCAACCAGAATGAAAACCTGTTTCTTATATAACAGTTCTCCACAAAGGAATTTTCCAAGTCCTTGCATAAGATTTTATCAGTTATCTGCCAAATATTTTCCTGAAAAGCAAAACAACATTTCAATAAGTCATCAGTTAGTTTGACACTGATTATTCTTTGGGTAATACTTCTATTATTCTATGAGCAATACTTCTATTCCTCCTGCCTTACCCCTTGGAGTCAAACACTGTGTACCTAAAAGTATAATACAAATATAAAATACAAAGAAGTTTTTAAATTGTTAATCTTTCACATCAGCTAGTTGTCTTTCACATTTACAGAGACAAACCATTTTCAGAGGTTTGAATTTTTCCCAGAATAGATTTGTGGAATTCGCTCCTAACTTATTGTTAAGAAGTTTTCTCATATAATTGATTTCTAACATGAGTCAATTTTAAAAGGGAACGGGATGCAATTAGTTACATTGGTGCAGAAGGCATAAAAACAAGGCTTTGCCCAGCCTTATACTTAATGGTGAAAAACTAAAGCCATTTCCCCTTAACTTGTCTCAGGAACGAGACAAGGATGTCCACTCTCTCCACTTCTCTTCAATCTAGTATTAGAATGACTAGCTACAGCAATAAGACAAGATACAAACATAAAGGGGATCCAAATAGGGAAAGATGAAGTAAAACTTTCCCTCTTTGCAGATGACATGATCTTGTATTTAAAGAATCCCACAGACTCCACTCCCAAATTACTCAAGTTGATTCAAAACTTTGGCAAAGTAGCAGGGTATAAAATTAACCCTCAAAAATCAATGGCTTTTTTGTATGCTAACAATGAGAAAAGCGTGGCTGAAATTAGGAAAGCAACTCCATTTGTAATAGCCCCACAAAAAATAAAATACCTAGGAATTAACTTAACCAAAGAAGTGAAGGACCTCTATGATGAAAACTTTAAAAACCTGAAAAAGGAAATCAAAACAGAACCTAGAAAGTGGCAAAACCTCCCATGCTCCTGGACTGGAAAGATCAACATCATAAAAATGGCAATACTTCCCAAGGCTATCTACAAATTCAATGTGATACCTATCAATATTCCAACCTCATTCTTCAAGGAAATAGAAGAGGCAATCCAAAAATTCATATGGAACAATAAAAGACCCCGAATAGCAAAAACGATTCTTAGCAGAAAGAACAGTGCTAGAGGAATGTCAATACCAAATTTAAAACTCTACTACAAAGCCATAGTAATCAAAACAGCTTGGTACTGGCACAAGAACAGACCTGGGGACCAATGGAATATAATTGAAAACATAGAAATGAACCCACAGACCTATAGCCATCTAATTTTCGATAAGGGAGCTAAAAAAATAGAATGGAAGAAAGCCAGCCTCCTCAGTAAATGGTGCTGGCAAAATTGGTTAACTACTTGTAGAAAACTAAAGCTAGATCCTTATGTATCACCCTGCACCAGAATCAACTCCAAATGTATCAAAGACCTTGGAGTTAAAACAGACACTCTGAAAACATTACAGGATGGAATAGGAGAAACCCTAGATCTCCTTGGCACAAGCCAAAATTTTCTTAATAGAGACCCAGAAACGCACCAAATCAAAGAAAGATGGACAAATGGGATTGCATGAAATTGCAGAGCTTCTGCATGGCAAAGGACATAGCTAGCAAGATCAATAGAAAGCCCACGGATTGGGAGAAGATCTTCACTAGCCATACAATGGACAAGGGTTTCATATCTAAAATATACCTGGAACTCAAAAAATTAAATCCCCCAACAACAAATCCTCAAAGAAACAACTGACCAATAAATGAATGGGCTAAAGACTTAAAGAGAAACTTCTCTGAAGAGGAAAGAAGGATGGCCAATAGACACATGAAGAAATTCTCAACCTCCCTAGCCATAAAAGAAATGCAAATCAAAACACTGAGATACCACCTCACCCCAGTTAGAATGGCTATAATCAAGAACTCTAATAACAACAGATGCTGGAGGGGATGTGGACAGAAGGGAACCTTACTTCATTGTTGGTGGGAGTGTAAACTTGTTCAACCACTTTGGAAAGTAGTATGGAGGTTCCTCAAAAGACACCACATAGAGCTTCCCTATGACCCAACAATTCCACTTTTGGGCATTTACCCAAATGATTACAAACAAGACCATACTAAAGCTACCAGCACAAGTATGTTTATTGCAGCATTATTTACCATAGCTAAGATATGGAACCAACGCAGATGGTCCTCAGTAGATGAATGGATCAAGAAAATGTGGTATATATATACACAATGGAATTCTATGCCTCCATCAGAAAGAATGACATTGTCCCATTTGTTAGGAAATGGAAAGACTTGGAAAAAGTTATACTAAGTGAAGTAAGCCAGGCCCAAGGAAACATAGGCCCCATGGTTTCCCTTATTTGTAATAACTAGTATATGTCTGAGACAAGCAGAAAAGGTCAGATACGTTGATGTTAGGTGAAATGAACCCCAAGATAAGTATTCAAAAGTTTTTTACTTTCATATGATTGTTTCTAACAGATTTATAAGATGATTTCTTTGTTGCTTTGTATGTCCCTCCCCATGTATGTCCCTCCCCTTGTTTTCACTGTTTGATTTGATGTTGGTATAATTTGTGGAGGGGAAGGAAAAAAAGAAATCGTTTAAATAGGGATACAGGTGGACCCATTGCAACAATGAGATGTACAAGTCATTATGTCAGAAAAGGTGGTGGTGGTGGTAGGGGGGATATGGGAAGGGATAGGAAGGGGAAACAAAGGAGGAAGCAACCATGCTTGATAAGAAATGTACTCATTATCTTGCCCATGTAATTGTAACTCCTCTGTATGGTATTTTCCTAATAAAAAATTAAAAAAAAACAAGGCTTTGCAGAATTGTAAATGAGTAGTAGAATGTAAAAGGCAATGGTTATGGTCCCTACCATAAAAAATTTAAAAAATAGGATTTATCCCAGTTGATTGCTGATGACTATCATTATCTTAGTATTAGGGAGCTTTCCACACCCACAAACAACAACAGCCAAAGAAAGCTTGTCATTTGAGTAAAGTGAAAACTGTTTCATGGCCTTGTTCAGTTGATGGGCACATATGTCCATCTGTGGCCTAGATATTTTGTTATGAACATGAAATAAGAAGATTTTCCTAGATTTAAGCCGAGCCTGGCAAGTCTAAAAATCTATAAAATCCTGTTGGAGAACAAAATATTTTCATAAGTCTAATACTTGCATGTCTTATTCATAATATATTTTATATATTAGCTTCCTACTAAATATTTTCAGGTGGGAGCTATTCAAAGGCAAACATCATTTATCTTCTTTGCCAATATAACAAATGTAGGATTGAATCCATTGACTTCAATGTACAGATCTGTATAATGAGAACCACTACTCAGCCCAACAAAGAAAACAGGACTAAGATCAGTAACCAGAGGCTGCCTAACTTCTGACTTCCATTTACTATTCTGTCTGCTGCACTTTATTTAAAAATTGGTTTGCTTTCTAATTGGAGTAGGAGTTGGGAGTGAGGAAGAGGAAGATGACAAGAAAAACATAACCTATTCCTACTTAGGTTGCCTTCTTAAAGCACCCTTAATTTTGTCACTGAAATTCTAGATAGCCATTCACCTGCAGCAAACCTCTTCTTGATGAGTGAAAACCGATATCCTGCTCCAACAAGTTCAATGTCACAGCCAGAAAGAGTGCTTCCTTCACTTGTGAACTGTACAACCAATGGGGAAGGTTTGCTTGGGCCTTCAGATAACTGAAATCTTGCCAATAATGAACCCACACCTAGAAAAGAAGAGTATTATTGCAAGGTAACAGTCAACACACATATTGGAAATAATTTTTGTATTGGAGAGTTGACATACCAAATTAGAAATAATATAGATTTGAGTGACAAAATGTATTATCAGAAATTATAAGCGAATTGACTTGTATACAGATAAGCATATAATTCAGCAAAACATTACATTAAAATCTGGAGCATGCCTGAATTACCCCAAGATATTATCAACACTTAAGTAGATCTGTATAATGAGCTGTGAGACTGAAACAGTTTATGCAGTCTCCCAACTAAGAAGAGCCCAGGACCAGGTGAATCTATTACCAATTTTTACCAGAACTTTAAAGAACTAACATCAATGATTTGCAAAGTACACCATAAAATAAAAAGGGGACACACTTTGTCAACCTCATTCTCAGAAGCCAGAATTATCCTGATGCCCAAGCCAGAGGAATACCTAACAACAGCCAAAAAGAAAAGTATAAGCCAATTTTCTTGATGAATATAGACACAAAACTTCCCAGTAAAACATTTACAAACTGAACTGAAGAGTTCCTTGCCTTTATTGATTACAATCACTAAATACAAAAATGAATTGAAATGACTTGGTTTTTGTTCAACTTATATTTTAGTTCATCGTTGGCTAATACCTACAAGTTGTCCCTGTGTTTTTGTGAATAAAACGAGGCTGTGAATATGTTACCTCCATTTTCTGACTTTTGAGATATATCAGGAATCTTCCACAATATTCTTTGTTGTTCAGCATTCCTAAAAATAAAATACATAAAAGTCTTTTCCATATGCAAGCATTTTTTGTTTAACAACTGATATATTTTTCTAGGTGCTATTAATTAAAACAATGTTTAGCTACAACTTAAAAGTTCTATAATGTCTCTCTACCTACCTATAATGAGAAAAGTCTATTTTCTAAAGTGATCTGCTTCTTTTCTGTTGCTCTTGTGAAAATTGTTTTCCTGGAAAGTTCCTGCTTTGGCCAAGAGGCTTGGCCCTTGCTAATTAATAATTTTCCTCAACACTTTAATTAAGACATCCTGTTATAGGCTCCTTGAATTTTAGTTACATCTTGTTAACTAAGCTACATTCTTTTGTTGAGAGAAACTGAGTTCAGCCAATGTGAACAGAGAGGCAGGGCCTCTTGGGTTAGGGACAAAAGGGAGCAGCCTGTCTGTTGTGTATTCTTGCTTGTCAGAAATCTGGCTGATAGCGAGAGGTTTTCAAGTAAACTTTGCCTCTCCATTTTCCTCTTGAGTTGGTGTTCTTTCTGTGCTACCTCCCAACATCTCACTATTTCAAATGCTATTCTTGTGTGCACAGATTCTGTATTCTCCTTTTCTTTATTCTAACTAGCTACAAGATAGACATTTAGAGGACAATATAGAAGTTAGAAAAACTTTTGAACGTATCTATTGAAAAGACTTATATGGGTAGGATGAATACATTCTTGTCTTTTAATTTGGAGCTGTCATGTGGTTGACATTCACGGTTTGAAATGTTCTCCTTTTTGCTACTGATAGTCACGTAAAGAAACTGGTGATTTATTTTAGAACATTTGTTCCCCAGTCCACAGGCTACAAAATGGAGCCTTGCATTTCCCAGACTCCCTTGCACTGAGGGTCGTAGATGCAAATGAGGTCCCTATAACTACATGCCTAATTTGGGATTTGGAAGGCAGAAAGCAGGCAGAGGTAATTCTCCTGCTGCCTTCTTGCTGTTTACTCTGGCCAGCAACCCGAGATGGAGAGGATTCCAAACACAGAAGCCCACTCTGGTGTTACAGGTATTGGGAAGCAACTGAGATGCCAACAAGAACTTTCTGATCCTTGGATCAGATGGATGGGGGTGGGCTTTTGAATTCAGTGATCCCATTGGTTGTCTAATTTCTCTTCTTCACCAGGCTGTGCAAGTGTTAGCATCTTCCCCAGGGCTAGTTCTTCAGCGTTCTGGGAAACATTCTTGGAAGTCCGGCTTAAAGCCTGCTCCTGAAAAATTTCTGCTTTAGGAGTATGTTCCTGTGTGCCTAACACATCCCTGCATCAGAAAACCCCATAGAACTCAGGAGAGATGGGCAATGTGTACTTGGGTTGAGACATGGCCACATGAGGCAGATAAGTGCGTGTGAAATTGTGTCCAAAATGATGGCCAGAATGGAAGGTATGGCCAAGAGGACATGAGACAGTTTACCACAGGGCCCAACACAAATGCATCCCTGAAAAGCTTTGTGTTAGCAAGATCATTTAGTAAGAATAATAGAGCTTGTGGAAAGCTAGAGCTATCTCAAGTTCTACGCATATCTATAATAGGATTGCCTATAAAAATAATGATTTACACATGGGGAGAAGACTTAGATTGCCAACACAGGTGTTCCTATGTGGTTTGAGCCCTTGTAGTGAGGTTCTGGATGTTCAGTAGGGAAGAGTGGGAACAGGCTGGCAACATTTTCTATACACCCATCCTGGTGCTGGCATACTATAGAGGGCAGTGGCACTGGGTGCTATTTGGTGGGTTCAAGACCCAGAGCAATACGTTCAATGCTGAGGACATAAGGTAGACCTCAGGCATTGTCTACTTAAATTTCCCTAAAATAGAACTGAAAGGGCTCATGCAGTCATGTAGCCACAGAGTGGAGAGCATCTTGCTTTCCTCATGAGGCCTAGAGGTTATTTTTCCTGCAATGAGTTGATTTCCATTAGAAACACACATTCCAGCACATTACTATTTCAGAGCCTCACTCTCAAGCCATTGTGGTGCCTACTGGTGAGATTCAGGTCCATTGTGCCACTTCTTTGAGTTCCTTTGCTCCATGGTGATGCTTCATCTCCTGTTTTTGTCCTTTAGATTCTCAGTTACTGCCCACTTGCATCTAGAGATTCATTCATCTTCTTTGGTTTCTCACCTGCCATGTCGACTCTAGTTTATTGACAGGAGTTAATGTGGATAGGATATTTATTAACTAACCTGTCTGGCTTAGTTTCCAGGGCTTTCTTCCATGTGAATGCACCCCATACTCCTCATGACTGCCCTATGGAAATGTCTGCTGGCTTGGGCTCTCTCCCCTCTCTCATTTCTGATTCATTCATCCTTAAATCAAAACAAGCTAGCTACACATAGGTTACTGAGATCCAAAGTAAAACTACCAATAAAAACATTTTTCTGGTTAAAATATCTAGGGCAGTTGTGTTTCCTGCTCTGAGTCTTTACATACAGGCCTGTTGTGTTCTCTTAAAGGAAACAAAACACCCAATCTTCAGAAAGAGCCTTTGGTGGCTAGGGAAGGAATCAGCAGTTCCTCACCAGACCGCTGGGGGGAGCACAGCCTGGAGCTTGGTCACTCCTCCATCTATGGGAACCAGGAACTGCACGTTGTTGAGGGCCACAGCAGTGGTCATTGCATCGGTGTTGTACTTGTAATCTATGCGCAGGTCAGTGCTTGCAGGCTCACACCGCCAGTTCACTGCCAGGTTCAGAGGCGTGGACTGAATGCCTTGGGCAGACACCTTGCCAAACAACAGGAAAAAGAACATTTTAGGTTTGACCACTAATCTAAAACGAAACCAGAAGCTATGATTATTTCCTATAATATTGTTCATGTAGCTCATAGACAAACTCCTGTGACCAGCACCTTGAAATTCAGGTACCATGTGAGGGAGCTGGCTGGCTGGCTACATCTATCTATCTGTCTGTCTGTCTGTCTGTCTGTCTATCTATCTATCTATCTATCTATCCATCCATCCACCTATCATCTATCTATCTATCCACCTGTCTGTCTATCTATCCATCCATCCACCCACCTATCTATCTATCTGTCTGTCTGTCTGTCTGTCTATCTATCCATCCACCTGTCTATCTATCTATCCATCCATCCACCTGTCTGTCTGTCTATCTATCTATCTATCTATCCATCTACTTGTCTGTCTGTCTATCTATCTATCTATCCATCCACCTATCATCTATCTATCTATCATTGATCTATATTTTTAGCACGTGTCATAATTAACATTCATTTCTAAGTTCTCTGGTAATTGACAAGTATATTCATGTGACCTTCCTCATTCAAGAAAAATAATTGTAGGAGTGGGAAGGATGGGAAGAATGATGAAAGGGTGAAACTGACCAAGATTTGTTTATTATTATTATTATGTCAGTCACGGGTCTTGAACTCTGGGCCTGGACGTTGTCCTTCAGCTCTTCAGCTCAAGGCTAGCGCCCTACCACTTGAGCCACAGCACTACTTCCGGTTTTCTGGAGAATAAGAGTATCACAGACTTTCCTGACCAGTTTGGCTTGGAACCATGATCTTCAGATCTCAGCCTCCAGAATATCTAGGATTATAGGCATGAGCCACTGGCACCCAGCTGACCAAGATTCATTGTACTCATAGACTGACATGTTGAATGGTAACCAGTTTGTACAACTTCTTAACAATAATACAAATATAATTTTAAAAAGAAAAATAATCGAAACATATTTAATCACAAAAAATGAATTATAACTACTTGAGGAGATCAAGTGCTAGGAACCAATGAGATTAGAGTCACAGGCACAATTTACCTGATTTGAAATAGGTTTTGTTAATAGATTAATAATAATTTTGGATAAAGGACTGTCACACTGGGGAAAAAAATCCAGATTGTTTATATATAATCCATTAAAATAAGTTTTAGGATTGTGATGTTCTTAACAGTGATCTAATTTAGCAACACATAATCGTAACTGATGTAATTTTTGACAACTTCCATTTTGTGGCATATTTCTGTAATTTTTTAAATAAAATATTTCACCTATAAGTTTACACTAAGATTATGTGTGAATATTCTTAACACTAGTTCCTAGGTATTACTTTAAGGTTTCTATTTTCTTATCTCTTTCCAATAATATTAAAAGAGATGTTACTTTATTTAGATTTATGTAACACTAGATACTTTATTTTTTAGGGGGGTCCAGTCATGGGGCCTGACCTCTGGGCCTGGCACTGTCCCTCAGCTCTTCAGCTCAAGGCTAGTGCTGTACCACTTGAGCCACAGTGCCACTTCTGGCTTTTTTCTTTTTGCTTATGTGGTGCTGAGGAATCGAACCCAGGGCCTCTTGCATGCAAGGCAAGTGCTCTACCACTGAGCCACCTTTCCAGCCCCATATTAGATACTTTAGAATGTAAATTTTCAACATGAAAGAGATGCCTTGACTGTGCAAATAGCTTACCTGGTATTTGAGCATGTCCACATTGTAATATGTAGCCTGGGGTTTTTGTTCAGACACTTTCTTTAGGTGAGTCATCAAATTTGGCATATTTACCCAGAATTCCTTGGTATTGGCATCATTTTGTGTATTGTCACTAGGTGAAGAGAAAATGATTGAGTAGTATCTTATAACAAATCAGCACAAGATGCATCTTGGTAAATTACCATTTGATTTCTATGTCTGTGTCTGACAACTGATAGATATTATATAGTTCACAGTTAGTGTTGCTTTTGGTACAAATATATCTCTGGATGATATTATGTGAGTAGATTAATACTACCAATGCTGTTAATTAATACTATTGATGATATTAGTTAATACTATTAATACTACAAATCTATAATGACCCAAGAATATTAACAAAGCATGATGATAATTGGTTGCTTAAAACAGTGAATTATTTCTTCAGTAAAACTCCCTAGTCATTCCCATATATTACTTTAGTTTTTGCTAATTCAGCCAATTAATGAGATTAAGGAGCTCAGTAAATTGATTTATTTTTAAATTGACTTCCCCAGTAGTTTTCAGATATTATCCAGTTAAAGATTTAGCCACACTGGGCATGATGTTATCCATCTGTAATCCCAGAACTCAGGAGGCTGAGACAGGGGGATCATAAGTCTCTCTCATGAGTCAGGATAGGCTGGGTTATTATAGAGATCTTATATCACAAAACAAAACAAAAAAAAACTTTCCCAAATTAACCATGTTCAACTAAGGAGGGGAGTGAGATACTAAAATCACTGTGCTACTTTTTTCCAGCATCTTCATTGTAACAGCGACACTTCATATCAAGGTGATCCTGGGCTTTCAATAACTGTGATGATGGTAGTTTGATGAGAAGCAGAAAGCGGCCTGGCCAAGCGAGGCATTTGCTGTTCCTGTGAGAGATCTAGTTTGCTCAGAGGCCTGTCCACAGAACACTTGTCCAATTTATCCTCTGAATGCTCACCTTGATAATAAGGATCAAGTAGGAATGTGTAGTGTATTTGCCCATTTCCAAGTGACCTGATAACTTGGCACACAACCTGTTGGCTGCCACTTTACTTTCTATAATACCATAATAAGAGGTTTATTTTGCACATATTATATGTTAATCATTATACTAGATGCATTTTTAAACCTTTTCGTTAAACTCTACCCAACAAAGATAGAGCACCTCATTTTCAAAGATGAGTAAGCTTATAGAAAGAGCATATTAGTCATAAGAAGAAAAGAGTAGCTGGTGGCTCATGGCTGTAATTCTAGCTACTCTGGAAGTTGAGATTTGAGGATCAAGATTCAAAGTCAGCCTGAGCAAATAAATCTGAGAGGCTCTTGTCTTCAATTAATTACCAAAAAGCCAGAAAATGAGCTGTGGATTAAGTGGTGAGTGCTAAGCTTGAGAAAATAAAAGTTCAGAGACAGTTCTGAGGACTGGCTTAGAAAAGAAAGTGAATTCCTATGATTCAACTTCCAGCCTCCAGAAATCAAACAAAGCAAGAAAGCACAGTCACAAAAATTAGAGTCTTAAAACTGCTTGTTCTGTTAGGAGGGAGGAGGTCAAGTTTCAGTACAAACTGAGTGTTTCTACTATGCCTGCTCTTTTAAGATGAAGTGAAGTTCTTAAGCTCTGGGAACAGAGGAAATGAGATAGTAGGCTAGAATTGGGACATGTGGCATGGAAATTGAAGCAAGGCAGATCCAGGAGCTAGGAGTAGAACATTGTACTAAATAATGTTTTAGGAAAACATATGCATTCATTTCTTCCAGCACATACTCATCCATCTTAAATAATAATACGTAGTAGAGCATCAATCCCTCTGACTTAGATCCAAATGAGTAATGTGTACCAGAAATTAAGGATGCCTGGTATAATAATTCTTTTGATAAGAAATGTCACAAGAAGTAGGCACCCATGTCACAAGACTTTTGGTAAGACTGCTCCAGACTAATGTGCTACAACTTTGGGTTATAACGACAAAATGATTTAAACTATCAGTTGCCTAACACAAAGAAACAATTTATCTGGAGGAACCAACTTTAATATAAACAGCCCCAAACAAAGAGCCACAGTTGCACCTCTAGATTCTGCACTTTAAGCCCTTGATAAAACTTTCTATTTCTTTTCACCACTCGGCGATTTATCTTACATGCCTAGTCAATTTTTTGCCCATTGTCTACTTTGTGAACCATCTTAAAATTCTTTTCACCAGCACATTCACAAATTGTAGAAACAGGATATTGGGTAATAAATTGAGGTTTTTGTTCATTTGTTTCCCTAAGCAAAATTTTCCTTGACCCTCTCAGGTGACAGAAAACAGTCCTGGCCCTTGAAACTTTGACCTTGGTTAGTTAACCTAAGGTCAAAGGGATGTTCAAATGCTTTTGGTTTAAAAGCATGTAAGTTACCCTGAGCTTCCACAACTGTCATTACACAATAAGGCAGGAGATATGAGCTATACAGAGGCAGTAAAATTTAACAATTTTCTTGGGATCACATTGTTAATAAGTAGCAAATCAGGATTCCAGTTCTATTTGGTCAAATAGGTCTGACTCTCCCACTACAACAAAATAGAGCGTTAGGATGAATACTTAGCAACATGTCATTAGTTTATACTAAGTAGAGCTGGCTTATTGTGGAAATCTTAAGTGTACTATGTTGCATTTGCTCACTTTAATTTTTTAAATAAGCGAAAGCATAGTTCATTGATGATAATTTCTGAGAACTTGTGATTGGCTTGACTAGCTTCTTTAAATCATTATCAAGCTACCCACTGATTCGACAGATATTTCTCATGCTCCTATTAGACATCAGGTATGATGGGAGGTCTTGCGGACATGGTGGTGAACTAGCAGATTGGTATCCTATCCCTTCTGAATTGCATTGTGTCATGGGGCACAGGTAAATGGAGGAAGGAACACATAGATACATAGTTATTAATTGTGGCAAGTACTAGAAAAGAAAAAAAATAGTGTACCTGGAAAGAATAATATTTTAGAGAGTTTGGGGCTGATGGGTAAGAAAGGGAGGATTAATGATTAGGGGAGACACTGTGGGGCCAAGACCTAAAGTGTGAGTAGGAGTCAGGTGAAGAAGGGCAGGAAAGAATTTCATCAAGCACTGGCTTTGGAGGAGGGCCTTAGCTTGTTTCTGACTGGCAAACCTGGCTGGTCCACCTGATCTTCCCACTCAAAGGCAATGATAGCATGTTTAGATTCTGGGGTAGAGACAATGAGCAAGTATGAATGGGGAGATATTGTGAAAGCTCATTTGGCTGTTAAAATATGTTGTAGCCAGGCAAGATTGGATTCAAAGAGGGATACAATTACCATGGAACTGGGACACGGAACAGGTATAACTGCAGGAAAGTATCAGGACTTGGTGACAGAGCGAAAGCTGTCAGTAATGACTCCTTTCTCTCACCTATTGCAAATAAATACATTGACATAGTTGATCACTTTTTTTTTTTGTCAGTTGTGGGAATTGAACTCAGGGCCTGGGAACTATCCCTGCATAATTTTACTCAAGGCTAGTGCTCTACCACTTTGAGCCACAGCCCCACTTCCAGTTTTTGAGTAGTTAATTGGAGATAAGAGTCTTACAGGAACTTTTCTGCCTGGGCTGACTTCGAACTGAGATCCTCAGATCTCAGCCTCCTGAGTAGCTAGGATTACAGGAATGAACCACTGGCACCTGGCTAATAGCATGTATGTATGCATATTGGCCTGACTATGTATGTACACACATAATAAAGACATCCTTTAAGTTACACAGAAAATATGAGAAAATATATTTACATAAATAAACAAGTTTCTTTGGTGTTATACTATAACATTCCATTAAAACATTTACCAATGAAATGACATGTTTTACACGGAAAAATTTCAAGCTCATGTGAAGTGTAGTTCACAATTCAAATATTATTTGATGGAAAAATAGGCTGCTGGATGCTGGGGGGAGTTGAGCCTTCTCTGGGGACAGAGATCAGGATGTGGCCTGAGGTCAGCCAGGGAAAGAAGTCTGAGAGATTCCTCAAAAATAGCTTGGTATGGTGATATATGCTTGCCATTACCACTATGTCAGGAAACATAAATAGGAGGATTATGGTTCATGATTATCTGAGTAAAAAGTGAGACTTTGTCTCAAAAATAATCAGGGTAAAACATGCTGAAGGTATGGTACATATGGTAAAGCACCTTCCTAGCAATTATGAAGCCTTGATTTTAAAGCCAAATATTGCGAGAGAGAGAAAGAGAGAGAGAGAGAGAGAGAGAGAGAGAGAGAGAGAGAGAGAGAGAGAGAGAGAGAACACAGCAATACTTTTCTATCATCCAATGTTTACTGACAGCAAATACAACAGACAATAAATTGTCAAGAATATAGATTTTAACACTTATTTTCTTTTCATTGTAACATTACTGTTTCTAGTAATAATGTTTTGGAGGCAGAGTCTTACTACGTAGCCCAGGCTAGGCTTAAACTTCCATCTTTTTTTCCCCAGTCTCCTGAGTGCTGGGACTATATTTAGGTACCACCATGCAATACTTTAAAGTAACACATGTTACTTTAAATGTCTGCAAGCAATTTAGAAGTTGGATATTAAAATACACATGTGCCTCTTCAGCTATGCATACACATGGGGCCACCTACAGAAGACTAGGAGAATTGGTGATGGTTCTGTGTGTGAATCTACAAGCATATCTGAGTAGCAGTAATTTGTCTACAGTGCTACTGTCTTTATGGTCTATGTCTTCATCTAAACACAAAGCACTGAAGCATACGTATCTAGAAGTGTATGCAAAGTTATATTTACCAGCAGAGAAGTTGGGGATTTGGCAGGACATGTTCTAACCTGCTGAAATTTACCACCCGAAACGTCAGAGCGGCTGGGCATGGGTTGTTGGCAAAGTGCCTGGTGATGCCGGCAGGAAAGGATAACACCATTTCTCCGGTAATCTTAACGATACACCTGGAAGATCAAAATAAGAGCAAAGATAGGGGAAACCCATGTCAGTACGCTGAGCTGCAACACGGAAAAGATGCGTGTTGACAAAGTGAATCAGCAGGGGATGAAAACCCAGCGTTCACAGAGCCAGGCCCAAGAGCCGAACCGAACTTACCTCACTCAATGCCTAACATTTATTCTTTTTCTTAAAAGAAGCATCTTAACCATAAGAAAATATTAAGCTTTTTTTTTTTTTTTAAAAAAAAAAGCGGAAGTCATTTTAAGAACTTGAGGTTTGAATTTATCTTTAGGGGAACTGAGTGTTTGGTTGGGGAAATAAAATGGTAATCCCTATGATAAAGAATGATAGGCAGGAATAAGAAATAAAGAATCATTTACCCTTGTGTTTTTCTCTGGCTTTGATTTCTGAATATTGGCTGCATGTATGAAGATGCTACACTAGGGTCTCATCCTTGCCTGAGACTTAGTGCCTTAAACACATGTACCTGTGTGGTTAAGTTCCTGCCTCCTGCCCACGCTGTCTTTATCCCTTTAACTTGTCCATTTTGTCACAACTGTAAGATCAGCCACAGACATGATCGCAACATGAGTATACCTTTCTTGAAAAAGAACTTTTGGAGATATAGTTAATGTAACAAACTGCACTTATTTAGAATATAAAATGACATAGGACAGTATGATTTGAAATCACCATACATTCAAGAGTAGTCTTCAGCATCCTTCAAAACTGCCTCCTGCCTTTTCATGAAATATTTTTTTTATGAAATCTCCCAACTTCCCATGCCCCAGGCCTAGGCAGTTGTGAAAATGAGCTTTGTCACTATCCATTGCTTTGCATTTGCTACAATTTTTATATAACAAAATCATAAAGCATGTGATTTTTGTAAAAACACACAGAGAGAGAGAGAGAGAGAGAGAGAGAGAGAGAGAGAGAGAGAGAGAGAGAGAGAGTGTGAGTGAGTGTGTATCAAGCTTCTTATCCTCAGAATAATTTGGATATTCAGCCATGAGGTTGTATGATTCCTTTTTGCTGCTGTGTGGCACATGGACATACTCCAACTTAAATAAACATCCTTTCGCCTGTTGAAGAATATATAGGCTCTTTCTTATCTATGATAAATATGTGATGAGTATGTGTGACAGTCCTCTGGAAGGATGGATACTCTCATTTCTTTTCTTTCTTTTTGTGGCAACACTAGGCTTTGAACTTAGGGCCTTCTTGTTGCTGGGCTGATGTTCCAGCTTGGCTTTTTGATGGTTAATTAGAAATAGAATCTTGCCAACTTTTATTGGCAAGGTTAACTCAAAGCATGATCCTTTGGATCTTAGACATCTGAAAAGCAAGGATACAGTCATGGGCACCAGTGCCCAGTTCTGCTCTTCATTTGGTGAATTTATGAGTAGAGTGAATAGATCACTTAGTAGGTAAACTGATAACTTTTAAAGAAATCACCCAGTTCATTTCTAAAATGGAAAATAGAGTTGTGTGTGAGTTTTAGATCTTCCACATCCTCACTAACACTTGGTAGAATTTGCCTTTTGAATTGGCTGTTCTCATAATGGTGAATACTCTTAAACATCTTTTCAGGGGCTTATTGGCTATCAGTTATCTTCTATAGGAAGTGTCTGCCCAAATTCTCTGTCAAGGTTTTAAATCAAGATTCTTTTTTTCTTATTGGGTTTGAGTTTTTATACATTCTTAGTTTGTATGATTTAATATATCTATATGTTTAATATCTATAACTATATAATTATCTATCTATCTAATTTGCAGACATCTTCCTCTCCCCAGTCTGTGGGTTATGTTTTCTTTCTCTTAAGAGTTCTGTCAAAAGCAAACATTAAAAAAAAAATCAATCAATCTACTTTTTGTGATTTATATACAAAACCCAGTTGTTTATTTTGTTCTTGGCAATACTTGAGTTTTAAACTCAGGCTCTTGTTCTTGCTAGGCTAGGGCTCTATCACTTGAGCCACGCCCTCTTAGCCTTTTTGCTGTAGTGATTTTTAGATAGAGTCCTATGCTTTAATCACCTGTCTGGCCACAGACCATGGTCCTCCTCCATGCCTCCTAAGTAGCTGGAATGACAAGTGTGTACCACCACACTTGGCTTATTGGTTTCTTTGCTAACTTTTTTGCTCAGGCTGTACTTGAATTGTCCTCAAAATAATCCTCCATTATCTACCTCTGAAGTAGATGGGATAACAATCAAGACCCACCATGCCCAGCTAAATTCAGTTATTCTTTTCTAGTCCTATTTAAGAAGCCCTTTCTAAGCCTAAGGTAAAAAAAAATGTTTATACCGAGATTTTTTTTTCTTCTTGAAGATATGTGTGTGTGTGTGTGTGTGTGTGTGTGTGTGTGTGTGTGTGTGTGTGCACGCACATGCATGTGCATAAAATGCATGTGTGTGCATGCTGGTCTAGGGCTTGATTTCAGAGCTTAACATTCTTGTCACCTTTCATACTCATGGCTGGTGCTATACCACTTGAGCCACATCACCAGTCTTGTATTTTTCTGGCTAATTGGAGAGTAAGTCTTAAGGACTTTTCTCTGTGCTGGCTTCAAACTGTAGTCTTCCTGATGTTAATCTCCCCTGTAGCTAGAATTACGGGAATGAGCTACTGGTAACTAGATTACAAAAAAAATATTGGCAGGTTCTCATTATATGGCCCAGGCCAGTCTCAAACTCATGATTTTCCTGCCTCAGCCTTCTGAGTGCTGAGATTATAGGCATGTACTGTCACATTGAGTCCTTCTTTCAGGAGTTTTTTAATTTTTAAGATTACATTTAGCTTTATGACTCATTTTACTCAATTTTTAATATAGTATGAAATATAGGTCTAAGTTATTATTTTTTGTTATATGTATTGTGTCAAAATATATGTGGATACAGATCCACATCCCAATCTGGTTTTTGGTTCCAATGATCCATCATGTCTGTTTTAGCTGATATTATGCTGTCTTGATCACTATAGTTTATAATAGTTCTGAAGTAATGTTAGTTTTCCAACGCTGTTGTCTTTCAAAGTTGTTTTGGCTATTGTAGATCCATATCAAAATTGTCATCTCCATGTGAAATTCAGAATTACCCTGTCAGTTTTGATTTACAATCAATCTATTTATTGTCAATTCAAATTCACCCTTCACTTCTTATTCTCTGATCAAGAAAGAATGTACTCTTTCTATAGTTTCTTTATCTTTCTTTATCCCCCAAAAGCACTATGTTAAATTTTGTCAGTAGAAGGCGCTGGAGAGACATCTAGGAAGAAGCAGGCTTGTAGAGCAGCTTCCTGCCTAGTTTTTCTAGTTCTACTTTCTTCCAGGGCACTTGGTGTCTCTAGGGAGTGTGTTTTGCAACTCAAACGTGGTTTTTCCAGTGCCCAACAGACTATAAGCTTCTGTCTTACCAACTTATGTAGTAATACAGTAGCTGGGCTGCCCCAGTGATCAGATCCTACAGAGCAAGGAAGATTTTCAGGCCCAGGGCTCAGATAGGTGTGCACTTGTCCACTGTGGCTTCTTGTAGACATCAACCATTAGCTTCCACTGTCACCTTCCTCAAGCTGTGTTGCTGAGAAGATGCACAGGTCAGAGCATTTATTTCGGGCACTGTTAATATTATGAAAATAAAAGTGGATGATATATCATAGTATGTGATAATGAAGGGAGTGGTATGGTCTGAAAACAAATGGTTCTGATGCAACAGAAAAAGGATCTGCCGGCAAAAGCAAAACCAAATGTCCCTTCTGTAGCCTTTCTTTCTTTGGTGTCATGTTTGGTTTTGCTTCTGAAGCATTCCCTTAGAAGTAAGTGACAAAGAAGAACCATTCAAATGAGTCATTGCCAGGAGATGAAACTAAATGTGGAAGCATGTCAGTTCATGGTATGTTCATGAATTTCAGATGTCAATATTTCAATGAAATGGACTAGACCGCCCATCCACCCATGTGCAGGGTACATGACAACTACTGATGGCAATATATTTGAGAATAGATTGCCTAAAATCTGCAATTGAAAGGCTCAATTAGTCTTGAAAGATATAAAAAGGATATGAAGAATAATGAAGCTGACGTGCTACTTCACTACCATGCCAAGGCTGTAAAAAGATGTGGCCATAGGTGCGATTCTCCTCAGACATCTTCATAGTGTGGTGGCGAAACTGAGCCAGGATGAGGAAACTGGATTGGATTTAGATAGGCCCAAAGAGGATTTGGTTGCTAACACAACTTCTTAGGATTAAAACCAAAACGTTAGGAAGGGCTTTGCATCTCCCATTGCATTACATCTACATCTATTTTTCCATTCCAACGGGTGAACGTGGTCTCTTTTCAGAGGTCAGGGATCAGGTAACTGTAAGTCTTGGAGATGGCATCAAAGGGGACCTTGGCAAAGTTGCTCCTGACAGTCATCAATACCGACCATCATCAAGCGCTTCCTGGGGACAGGAGCTGTCACCATCTCGGGGCCCGTGGTGGCGCGGATGAGGTGCACCAGCAAAGGAGAGCAGCCTGTCACCTTGCAGACAGTGTGGGGCTTGCCAATGTTGTTCCCCCGCTAGCCTCTCTGCAAGGGACAATGGAGAGGTTGGCTGAAACGATAGCCCCTCAGATGGCGGTGGCAATCTCCTTGATTCATGGCCACTGTAGTCACCAGTGGCTACAAATGCCTTGAACCTGATGCGCTGGCCAGCTCGGGCTTGCTTTTGCACCGGCATAATCTTCAGCACCACATCCTTCTGGGGACACCCCCAGGAAGAAGCGAATCATCTCAGACTCCTTGATGGGCCAGGAGAAAGGAGGGATCTCTTCCAAAGATTTGATCTGATGTCCATAACCAGGCAGCCCAGTTTGGTGAAGGGTTTCCATTCCTTGCCTTCGGCCTTGCCTCCACGAGCCCTGCTGGGACCTCGGCCTCTACCATGACCTCAGTCCCCGGAGGCCGCTGCTGGAGCCTCCTCAGAAACCGCAGCCTCCCATGCCTGGCCCCAGAAGCCTCCTTGCCCTCCTTCTGCACTGGCGTCATTCGCCATCTAGAAGCTATTCCTTATTGTTTTGGAAGTGTATTTCTCTCTGCTTTTCTTGATTTGGGCCAGTCTGAGTCAATCAGAGATCAATCAGTGACAACTACTTCTTAGCCTTTGGTGACAGAAAATTCTATAGATTCCATAGACTTGACATGTACATCGAAAGTTTATACCCAGAGGTCATAGTTCAAAACTATTAATGTCTGCACTCTTGGTTTAGGCAGAGGACTTGCTATATAGCAAGACCCTTTCTAAAAAAATAAAAACCAAAAAACCCAAAAAGCAACAACAACAAAACTGCCTTGTCTGTCTTTGTCTCTGTCTCTGTCTGTCTCTCTGTCTCACTGTCTCTCTGTCTCTCTGTCTCTCTCTCTCTCTGTGTTTACTTGCTTTAGCAGTTCAAATATATGCTCTGGGGTAGGCTCTATGCTTTGAGATAGCTTCTAGTTTCTATTGCTGTGTGGGAAGGGACCTGCTTTGAAGATGAAAGAGAAAGGACATCCAGAGGCCACAGTGCTAGTTTTCCTCTAATATTTTGGACATAGAATAAATCTTAACTGTGACTGAAAAGAGACAGCACTTCTAGGGAGATTATATATCCCAGGGCTGGGTAGGACACTTAAAGGTGGAGTTACTAATTATATTGATTTTTCCCCAATATATTACCAAGAGATTTTAACAAATGAGTGTTTCTGAAGTGTGAAGAGTGTCACACTTAGTCATACAAATCCCCATTTCAAAAGTGTTGATTCAACTTCTAATTATACTTATCACTGTTTCAAAAATGTTTATAATCGGGTCCCTATGAGCATTTATTTTTTCTCTCTCACTTTTGTTGTATACATGGTAAGGTTTTTCCAAGTCCTAAACCTTGGACATGAAACAACTAAGAACTAATTAATGTAAATAGAAGTTAGTATCTTCTTTCTTATAGTTGTTACTTTACTGTGATTTAATTTTTTCAGTCTCTTATTTTTGACCAGTTTAATTGTTAATTTTTTGACCAGTTCCCTTGCTGCTCTGGGTGTTTTGGGAAAGCAGTTTTCCCTCTTCCATTGATTCTTCATTTCCATTTATATATGTGAATGATTTTCAACCAGGGAAGAACAAGACAATAAAAGACATGGCCTAGACATCACTTTTGTGAGACAGCCCATTTTCTCTTTGCTAATAAAGTTACATTACAATTTTCTGTTGCTTGTAATCGAAACAGAACCAAGGAATTTTTAGAGTGAGATATTAGATTACTGGATCTTTTGGAACTGCAAAAAAGCCAGTGAACTAACATTACTAACTAAATTTTATCCTCTACTGTGGATGTGCCACCTGCTACTCTTTTTGGCCTTAGGATAAGAGTGAGATATTCACATGTAGGGCTTCCCCCACAGGAGTACAGTGACCCATGTGCTAGGCTTACTTGCTGGGATCCGCTCCTTTGAAGTAGGCATTGACTGTTTCTGTGAATGCTGCTGCAACAGGAAGCGTGTCCTGGGCTCCCATGGTTAGGGGGCTGGGTCCCCTGGAGGAACCTGTATGGAATGGAAAGCTTTCATTTACTATAGAACACTCTACACATCTAGCATATGTGGAACTAAAGGCCCATTAATGGAGTAAGGGATAAAATCTATCACTAACAGAAACAGACTAAGAACCATGACTTTATACGCATATTCAACATAGAGCTCAAGTATTTAGAAAGAAAATATTTGGCTGGCTTACAGACAAACACTTGAAATGAATTCAATTATGTATTTCACTACAGGAAAAAGAAAAAAAAACACAAAGGAACAATCCAAGCAGAAGTACAAAGTCACGGGGGCTTCAAATGTTTGGCATAAAGCAGGAGGCAGTATTTGCATGACAGTTTGTGCAGCAGGTGGTTAATTAAAATTATTAGTTTCCTCTTTCTTATCTGAGCAGTCAACCTAATCAATTGGTCATACTGAAAACTTCTTGTATTTCTTTAGTGGGAGGAGACAGACAAGTGGTTATACACTGCTCTTTTCTGCTCTTTTTCATTTCTAGAAGCTCAGTTACTCTCAGATCTAGTGATCTCAAGTTAATGTGCCTAAAAACATAGCCAAAATATTCACCTCAACTTAGCAAAAGCACAGAAATTCACACTCGGGAAAATATCATCATCTCATATGTCTGGGCACAGGGCACAGCAACCTGTGCCTTCTATTAATTATTTCATTCAGTCTCCCCGTGTGTCTGGAATAGGCCTAACAATTTTTGTTTTAGAGCAGAGGGAATCTGCAGCTCAAAGGTGATATAGTTGCTCAAGATCATATAGTGAGTAAGGTAGCAAAACCAAAATATAAACTGAGACTTGCTTCCTTTTAAAACTTACACTTTAACCATTATACCATACAGGTTGTTCATAACAAACCCTAAGCTATATTGTTTTTCTCTAACACATACGTAGCCTTACCAAGGATCACAATTTAGGGTGGCTGTCTTTGATACTCATTTCTAGGCATGGCTCAAGGACAGTAAAGGGGAAAAGTATATTACACTTGGCAGTGCTTTTTTCTACCAAACAAAATATGTTAATTCCTCCCTGCTTCTGGCATAGTCTATACACACTGGTGTTATGATTGTTTGTCTTTAGTAACTTCTGTCCTTCTCTCTAGCTGTGAAAACACCACCTTTTCTATATATACCTTTTTCCTCAAGACTGACTTTTCTTAATTATTCTGGTTCATGCTAATTTCTTTTGTACCTTCTCTTGGAACTCAATATCCTGGACTTTGTAATGGATCATTAGATTCGCACATATTTGTTTGATGTCTATTATGCATCAGGCATTATCATAGCTTCTGAGATTCAAAGATAATCAACCATGGTCCTCATCTCTGATAAGTTACAGTTTAATGTGTGATCACCATCATCACTACCACCACCACCACCACCACCACCACCACCACCATCATCATCAACAGAAGTACCAGACGCCTCACCACTATCATCATTAGCATCTACAACATTCAGCACCAATATTCCCTCATCACTATTGTTGCATGCTGAACTCTGTGCTTTATGTTTGAAGTAAGCATTACCTTCCCATGACAGTTAATGAAACTGTCACAGTTTGAAGTTGGTTATCAGCCTCTGGCACTATTGACCAGTGGTGGAGCATTCAGGAAGAGAAACCAGATGGAAGGAAGTCAGGTCCTTGGTGTTGTGCTCTTGAAGGGGATATTGGGACCTCAACCCTTTGTGCTCTCACTCTACCAGGAGGTAAGAGGTCTCTTCTACTATAGGTTCCTATGACATAGCTAGGCAACGTGGTGCTGAAGCCCCCGAAACTGAGCCAAACCTGAGGACAAACCTGTCCTCCGTGTATATAGATTTTCTCAGATACTTTGCCACTATAATGGGCAACTGACTATCACAAGAACAAAAAAGGCTGAAAGAGCTTATACAACTTGCTCAGCCTTGCACAGCTGGTATGCAGAGCAGTTTAAGACTTGTATTGAGATCTCTTCCATTCCAGATTAAGGCTCTGAGGACTACATTATTTTGCTTCCTTAGTTGGTCACTGCAGTACCATCCAAGGATACGCAAATAACTAGTATTACTGGCATGTGAATGTCAAGGTCTTTATTACTTATGGGATTGTAGGCCCCTAAAAGGAGATGACTATGACATGACTTCTTTTATGGGCCTTCCATACTCCCCACAAGGAGAATCAAGATTGTTAAGCTGAAGTTGAATTGTGCCCTGTTGGATCTCAGGAGGAAAGTGAAGTTTATGTACACATATAACTGATCTATAAATAGTGAAGGCACAATATAAACAGGACATTATTTTGTAATGGTGTTGCTCAGTTTATTTGTAACATGTTAGTCCACATATTTATTGAGAGAATGCTTTTCTTTGCTGGTGGTTAAAGTTGAGCCAGAATGGTGACAGGGCTGAACTGTTAGCATTGTAGCAGGGTCAAGGTTCCCATTGGAACCCTTGCTGACTTCAGTAAGTCAGCAAGGGTTTCTTTGAGAAGATAATATTGGAGTTAAGGTTAGAGGAATAACAGGATCTTATGAAGCGGAAGAAGAATTAAGGCCTAGTATGTACTTAAGGAGTGTGCTGTTGGGGTGTGTGTAAATGAGGTTGTTTTGAATAGTGAAACATAGAAGCAGATAAGACTTGGTGATGATGAACTGTATATAAATATTTGGGAAATTATATGCATATACATATAGTATTATATGATTTGTAGCTACTGAAATTATAAGTCCCTTTTGATAATCTCATTTAAATATATGGATACTTTTCAGAACAAAGCCTGTGTACATACATACCTAATTTAAAATAGCATTATACATTTCTTTAAGTCTTTTGGGGGGATCTGGAACTGAGATTAGAATATTCCCATTGAAGATAAGAGGCCTCTGGCATGTGTGAAATGGGGGTGGGGGTGGTAGGCTCACAATGTTTGAATTTCTGTTACATTTGTTATAGTATAGATGAAGGGACTTCTTAAAAAGAAAAAGATAAAATTATTGAGAAATGTCGATTTTTAAAAGAGAAGAAGAATGTCATGGTCATTTTATTTTTTAAGGCTGCAAAGCATTAAATTATCTTTCATGGAATTCTTGTAAATAAAATAGCAAAAATAATAGACTTTCTAAGTGAGCTACATTCATGGTTTCATGCTAATTAAAAAGGAATTTTCTAGTGAATCATCTTGAACATCTGTCCTTAATCTTATTCTTTAGCATCTGGAATAAAACTAAAAAAAAAAAAAGCTCAGAAACAGCAAGTTCAGTCTTTGGTTTCCTGGCTCTATCAACAGTAGTTGTAGTAACAAACAAGAAATTCTGTGGCTTTTACTGCATCCCAAGAACTATTCAAGAGGCTTTACTTATATCAACTCTTCATCCTGACAATCCTTCTATGAGATAATTATCATTAGACTACAAATGAGGAAACAGGTTTCAGGTCCTCTTGTTGCTTTGCTACATAGTCACTTAGGAAGAAAACATGGAGAACGGAACTGGGATGTGGTCTGAACCTTGTTTGAGTGGAGGCTACAATGTTAGCCACATTGTTGGAGGAGTGAGGGCCAGGAGGGTGAGGAGCTGCCGTGACTGATGACAAATAGCAGTGTTAGGGGACAGAGGGAGCTCTGAAAGATGGAAAGGGCACACAGGCTCACAATGCATGATGGGAGTTTCTGCAGGGCAGTTTTTGGTGAGTGTCATTGCTAAGCAAGGACACACAAACACGCGTGTACAGCCCAACGCCAAAGCAAGTTAAAATCCTTAACAGTAACATCCAAAAGACATCCTGAGCAGACCATTGAAATACAATTGTGGTCAAGAAGTTGTGAAAATGTATGTGGAAATGGAGCGAAAAGAAAAGAAAGTTTAGAAGAGAAAGAGAAAGATAAGGAGATAAGAGACTGCAAACAAGACAGCTACAGAAAATGAAGAAGGAGGTAAGAAGGTATACTTTACAAATAAATAAATGTCTGTATCCTTTGCACAGGAATACCTTGTGTTACACTATTGCCAGTAGTAGCAGCTACATGTCCTGTGCCTACACTGTGGTGTTTTACAAGTGTTGTTATCTATCATTCACATAACACTGTTACCATGTAGGCGCTAGTTTTCACTTCTTTCTTAAAGACTAGGAAATCTGGAATGCTAGAGTACCAGCCCAAATTCAGAGAGCAGGGATCGTCCTTGCAATTGCTATGCCTTGCTGTTCCAGTGAAGAGTCTAGGACTGTGTTAGACACCGTGGGCTTCAGTCTTGATGGTGGACAACTCAGTGGGTCTATCATTAAATTAGATAATACTAACAATGCTCCTAATCTTACCCAAATGTAGGGAAGAACTATGCTACTAATAATGGGTTTGATGAGATTACAGATTTTACCTTTGCTCATCTGGGATTGGAAACAACCATCCTGAAAGAGCAAGCTGAAGTATGCGTAACAGGAGGGGATGGTACTGTTTGTGTAAAAGACCATTATGTTTTATAGTCTCTTGGCAATTGTCCACTCTAGCAGGCTTGCTGTAGATAGAAGGTAGAGGCCCCGTATGCCCAGGGATGAGAGATGCAAAAGCAGACACGATATTCCAGACATAAAAAAGAGATGATTAGACTGGTTAAAAGAGCAAAAAGCACAAGTTCTATTCTATTCTGGACTAATTTATAGAGAATATTCTCTAGAATACAGTACTAGTGAGAAAAGAATTCTGGAAAGGACAGAATTAAATTCAAATGTTGGCCTTATCTCTTATGTGGCCATGAAAGAAAAATCTAACCTCTAACCTCTTTGAGTTCCAGCTTTATCATATTGTAAAATGGAGATGGTACCCTTATTTAGATATTATGAAGATTTAAATGGTATGACACAGAACTTGTTACCTGAAAATAGCAATGACCAGGGAAGTCACTCAAAAATTAATGTATTTTAAATGGGTACTAAAATTTTATGGTATATAAAGTTAGAAAGGCTTGATGAGATTCTAAAATGTCATAAACTAAACTCATGAGATCTTTTATTGACAAAG